TTCATACATATACAATTCTTGTATTTACACTACATTAGAGTTTTCATGTATTGTTAAATGAATGCTCAATTATTACTGTAGCGTGGAATACATTTTTATAGATAAACTAATTTATCGATAAACCATTGAGAAAAAAAACTTTTTCAAAAATATTATTTGAAATTTTAGCAACGATTTAGCCACAATTTATAATAACATTTTCCGTAATAACGCAGAGAAGCGCACAATATCGAGCTAACCTAAGTATGATGATGCATGGTTGAAATTGAAAACTCCAAAAAATGTGGAACGCTTCACGATTTTGCGTGTCATCCTTGCGCAGGGGCCATGCTAATCTTCTCTGTATCGTTCCAATTTTAGTATATGTACTGCCGAAGCAAGTACAACGGAGTAGGGAGCTCAGGCATCTTATATAGTGATCGAGGTCTTTTTCCTGCCACTTGCGGGTACCGTTTTATTCGTTTAGTCAGACTCCTAGCGGCTTGTACGAGAAGTATGAATCGGGAGTTCACGCACACGTTTCAAAAGGACTGCCGCATTATTTCATTCTATTTGAGGTTTAAATTTTATCCATTTAATTTTTTTAAGGAACATATCTCGAAAGTTAATTTTTCAGTCGATGAAACGATGACAAGCTGCTTCGAAATATTTTTTTATCTGATAATTCCTTGAATGATTATTATCTAAGTAACCCCGTGCCTAAAATGTTTGCGCTTTTGTAAGTCATCATAAAGTGATGTATCTATTCGAAAACTCCTTGGCTCAAAATTTATAGATTCAAAACTATTTATCATTTACGACTTAACACTGTTATTCTCAAAGTGTTATAACAATCGGTTTCTCGTTTCATTTGCTTTGATGCATTGCAGTCTGGGCATATGTATACAATCGGTTACGAGCTCTCGACGTCAAAAATACAACAGCAGTAGCATAGGTAAATGTGTATGCGATCTCGCGCGACGCATCTCATTCAGAAGCGCAGCGCACGGCACGCGCGTGTGAAATTGGAGTGTTACGATACATACAATGTATGACATAACAGCGACCGGTGGTTTCACGCATTTTTCGCGCGCGCGTGCAGTCATATACCTACCCCCTGATCCGCGATGGGGGTAATCGTAACTCAAGCGCTGAAAGTTTTTTTTTTCTTTCTGCATCGCTCGCACGATGCCTTGCGTGCCCTCGTACAGCAGTAGCAGGGGTGCACATTATCATCGAGTCGAGGGCCACCACGCAGTTACTTCATTCAAAAATAATTTCACGACGTTTTAGCACATAAATAATATCGTCAGCTCCGAGGGAAGAAAGTGAAATTAAACGAAACAAAGTGAGTACAAAATGTATATACAATGCTTACTGTATATAATCGCGCTCAAAGAGATATACGGATAGCTGCGCGCGGGGTAAGCCGAGCGTAGATAGCAGAGAAATAGAAATCAATTGGCGAATGGAGCCGTTAATCTGCGCGAGAGCTTCTGGTGTATATTACACACGTACACACTGCACACATAGCAGCCCGGCATCGGCGCACTGCAGACGTATAGCCTTTGCATCACGCGGGCGTGCGTACTCATACACATACACACAGACACACAGAGTGAGTACGTTTATACATATAGCTAGTAGAACGCTGCGCGCGCGACTGAGTGGTTATTTAGGTAAGAGCCGCAAGTACAGAGCGTTTACCTCTATCTCTCTTTCTCTCTCTCTCTCTTACTTCTTATATCCCTCGGGTCGTGATGCACGGCTTAGCTTGCTGGCGTTTATACGTGCTGCACTCCTGGAGTAGCAGCAGCAGCAGCAGCTCCTTTTTCTTATACCCCATACACGTATATATCTATATGATGATGCTGTATACGAATCAGAAGGCTCGAGCTCGTTTAGATGATTGCACGATCTTTACCCGAGAGTATTGAATTTTTTTCCTTCTTCTTCTTTTTTCTTTTTCATCAACATAATAGCGCTCGGATCCTATATATGCGCGTGGCGCGAGTTATACCTTATAAACTCTACATGAGACTATAAGTGGAAACAAATTTGAGATATTTTTTCCCACGTCGAAAAAGACAATGACTCGATAAGATAACAAAAAAAAATAATAAAAGTCGAACAAATACAATAACGCAGAACGCGTGAAAATCCAATCGTTTCCAAAAGATATAATATATATTATATGCGGCTGCGTGTGCGCGCAAGCATATATAACACCCGGCTGATGTATCTGGTATCAGCGCGAGCGCACACACACACGCCATTCATTACACGCATTGGTAACAGCCGCATGACTTTCCCATGAAGCAAATTCGGTAATCAGATCATCCCCAACGACGTTGCTCTGTTTTTTATGTCCTCTCTCTCTCTCTCTCTCGCTCGTATAAGGTTCATTGTCACTTTTTGACCCCCCTCCTGCGCCTATTACGTGCACAACTACAGCTCGACGTTATGTCATTTTTCCACTGACTTGCGATGCCTGCGCGCGCTGCCACGCCACACACGGTGTATGCGGCATTAGATGGCATTGTTTCGAGCCAAGTAGCCGCACCACTGCTGCTGTCGTTGCTGCTGCTTGGTTCGATTAATTTTTGTCCATTCGTTTCGGAGCGAGCACTCGACGAAATTTCACTTTTTGATTCTCGAGCGGAGATTCACGCGTGCGTGCAGCAGCCTCGTACGTACACAAAAATTAAAGCCAACGTTTCAAAGTATCCATTACGCACAAGATAGCAGTAAAGCAGTAGCAGCAGTAGCAGCAGTACACCCTCGTGCGGTCGTCGTTCTCTTCACGTACGCGCACGGCGGCGGCGGCATAGTGTCACATCCCTTGCATCATCGCTCGTCCTTTCATTCGTCTAATCCATAATTATATGCCAACGACACGCGCAACGCGTGTCTCTTTGCTTTTCGACGATCTGCTGCTGCTGCTGCTGCTGCTGTTGTTACTTCTACAGATTCGTATAATGTAACAACGGCTCGTTTGTACAGTGGGTTAAAAGTATCGCGCCAAACATAATCTCTTTTCTACGTGCGTTATAAATTTCGCCTCGAGCCCTGCACGTTCGGATGCACATATAATAGGGTTTGGTCAGGTTTTCTCGCTCGTATAGTATTTGCCAGCTGACACATAAAGAGATATGTAGAGTTTGAGAGATGCTCGCCATGCTCGAGGATCCAAAATACTTCAACGCAGTTTGTGTGTGCGCTTTAATATCTAAGTGGGATGGCTCGAGTGTACAAATGCCCACTTGGTTATGCGCTGTCATTTGCACTTCGTGAGAAGATTTTTAATCCACCGTGGGATGTATGTAATAAATGAGAGATAAGGATGGCTCGTCTTTACGTGCATTAGCACACTCTAAGCGATGTTTTTCTTAGGGCTCAAACAATTCACGAAATTGACAACTTGGCACTTATATTATGTGTGATGTACATAATTCAATCTTTTAGAATTATCAATTTACAGACGATAAAATATTATAATTATGTTTTTTTTATCAAAATGACATCACACAATATTATACGAGCCATGGTATCAATATTTTATAATTATAATTATTTTTAACAATTATAAACAATGTATTATATTTTACAAACTGTAGTCAAGACTTTCCTTATCCGTTGACATACAGATAGTAAAGAGAGCTCGATGCTCTTTCAGGTCCCTGTTAAAAGTCTCTATATCGCACCTTGTCTGCGATAAGTATAATGTATTTCAAAATTCTTACGAAAACTCGTAACGCATATGCTCGGGCGAAGCGAAGAAAAGTAATTCGCCAAAGAGTTTTTACTCTCGGGTTCATTTTCCCTCTTACTTACTCGTGTGTGCGGCCACTCGGCCGCGTCCATATACGGCTCTCGGTCTGACGTTCGGTTTCGGGGGTAAGTGCCTTATATAGCAGCTCGCATTCACACACACACATACATACAGCCGTCATGCATAATACAAGGGCGCGTGCACAAGAGTATAAGAGAGTGACGGATCACTTTTGGCTGGCGCGCTCGCTTGCTTAGGATACTTAGGGGATTGTCGCGCTAATGCTATATATTGTATACAGTTGCCTCTTTCAGTGCCATCGCATATTTATACCACTCTCGCGACTGAGAGAGACCCGAACGTTCTATAGAAAACGAAGTAGAGAGAGAGAGCTTAAAGCCTGAGCCAGATCGTCGTTCCGTGGCCCTTTTGATTTATCGTGCCGCGACTGACGCGTTTGCTTTTGCCATTGTTTCTCGTCGAGTGCTGCTACGCTCTCTTTCTCTCTCTCTCGAAGCTATTAAGCCCTGAGTGCGTTCCATAATTATAATTAGAAAAAATGAGGATCACTCGTTGATTCATCGAGCGTACTCTCTCTCTCCTCTCTTTCTCTCGAAAATAAGAAAAGTTGAATAAAAAGGATTGCGCTCGATCGATCCAAACCCGTTAGCCAAGTGATTCTGGCATGTGTCCATGGAACGACGACGACGACGACGACGCCGCCGCCAACGCCGTCGCCGCATAGTATCAGCTCGGCCAAGCGGAAGTCCTTGGAGATCGACGCTCACGCAAACTAGACGCCTCGGCTTGCGAGCGAAGCTTATCTCGGGGCCCTCAATCCGTTCCTCTGTATGATATATCGCGCTTATACGAACTCGAAGCTGTCGTCCATCCATCCGAACTCCGCTGCGGGTTGTTCACACATCGTTACGGATCGACCGTAGATTATATACAGCCGCGAATCTAGCTAATGATCGCTCCATACATACTCATAATTAGTGTGATGGCCTATACACAGTCAGTCCGCATTGGTCGCGTTTGGGGCTTAATTTCTCACACCTATAGATGTATGTTTAAAAATACTTTGAATGACTCACGCGCGCTGTTTTTCAGCTAACGGATGATAGCAGCCTACATATATAGAGAATATTTTTTTACTCGCTGTCATTAAACATATACGTGACTGGCTTAATGACTTAACGATCCACAATCACGACATTTTCAATTTAAATGAACAGTTACACTTGACGTCGCTCATACGAATCAACCAAAAATGTTTCGAAAAGTTGTATTTTTGATCGTCATTGGATGCGCCATTGTTTTGGTAAGTTATTGAATATTTTTGTTTTTTACCTTGAAATCTGCACAAGTAGAAAAATATTTGATACAATATCGAAATTATTGCAGGCAAGTCCGAGTCCTAAATTAGATAGCGATGAAAAGGTAAGCTTCGATGAAATTTTTTCGAGTCTTCGACGCAAATGCATCAAAAAATATTCAAATAACATTTTTATAGGTTGAACATGCAGAAAAGCCATCGCTGGGCCAAAGACTTTCGGGTTGGTGGCAGGATTTCAAAGCCAGAACTAAAAATTTGGGCGAAAAAGTGAAGAACAAGGTTGTCAAAATTTACGAGAGAGTATCCGGTAAAGAGGCCCAAAAATCCCGAGAGCAAGTTAAAAAGCTCGAGGACGATTTGAACAGAGTCGACCAACAATACAAAGCTATACTCGCGGAACAGGCCGCGAAAGTCGAAGCTTTGAGGGCCAAGCTCGAAGACGATAACCAAAAGCTCGTCGCGGAAGTGAGACGACAACACGAGCGAGAGTTGGCTCAGAAGGAGAGAGAACTCGAGAAGACGCGCGACGAGATACGTACAAAAGTCAACAGAATCATCGGAGAGTATCAAGGCATTTATACCGCAGCTGATAAAATCGTACGCCAGAAATATCAACGACACTCGAGCAGAGTTTAATTTACAGTGTGTAATGCATCGTTCATGTACTTTATTTGTATTTTTATCAAATTTAATAAAAGTCTGAACTAAATTAAAATTGTTTTACCCAATTTAATCTACCCATGATGACATTAAAAAGAAATGCTGATAATTCATTTAACGATACATTTTGAGAGCATACTATATCTTTGGATAGATAACGAAAGTCAATTTCAATCTGCGTTTCGAAAGAAAACTGCGAGTGATTTTTTCCATAAAATATGAATATTATTTTGACATATTTTGAAGTTTAAGTTAAAGTGTACCGCGGTACAATATTCAATGCCGATCGCGAACATTCGGCAATAACTTATTTGTCGAAAATAAAAGTAATGACAGAGTGTGCGTCATTGTGCACTTATTTTATTACCTTGTCACGAATTCCAAGGAATATAAGTATCTGCATTAGATATGGAAATCGTTAGTTGTTACAAGACATAATTGCATTGAACATTGATTGAACAATGGCTAAGGTCATGTCTAGCAAATTTTTAATTTTACTCCTCGTAGGATTTTCCGTCGCTTTTGTAAGTAGAAAAATGTAAATATTAATTTTATATTATACAAATAGTCATGATCGTATTTTTTATAGGCGTACGCGAATCCAGAACCATTCCCTGAAGATGAAACCTCTCCAGTAAGTTAATTCGTTTAACACATCACTTTTTTAATGAAACGCATTTTTTATCAATTAATCATTGCTGCGCAGGTCGCTCAAAAGTTACCTCTGCGTGAACGAATGAGCCGATGGTGGTCGAAATTCAAAAACGACGCCAAGGAGAGCGCCAACGAGATACGCGAGAAAATCGTTCATTTTTGGGACAGAGTCACGGGCAAGGAGGCCGAGATCGCCAAGGAACAGTTGGAAGAGTTGGAAAATCGCGTGAAGGAAATCGACCAAACCTACAAGACGCAGCTCTCGACGAAAGTCACCGAGATCGAGAACTTGAAGAAGGTCGTGGCCGAGCGCGAGGATGACGCCGAAAAACAATCGGAATTGGAAGCATCGTTAAAAGCCCAGATTGAGGAACTGAAAAAGCTGCGAGAGGGAGCCGAAGACAGATTGACCGAGGTGAATCAACTGTACCATAAATTACTCGCGAATCTGAAGAAAAAGTCCGAGAAGAAGGAGGAGAAGGAAAAAATGAAGGACTCTGAGAGGGAGAGGAAGGTGCAAGAGGAGAGGGCTCGTAGAGCCGAAGAGCGCAGACAGAAGGAAGAAAGAAGATTAAGACACGAGGAGAGACATCATCGACTTCATTAAAAATGTTTTTGATTTGCTTCGATTCGTCGCAATAAAGTGAACGATTAAAAGAAAAAAATTGATTTATCACTATTCACGCCAGACTTACACACTCAGCTCTGAATGTACGCGAGTAGTAATCTTGAAAAGTTTCACTCCCTCGATGCTCCCGAATGTACATTACGCAACCGTATGTAGTAGTCTATATACTCACACACACACACGCACACGCAAACTGAGAAAGGGAGTGTACACGACGACGAAAGCAATCACGTGTACCACGAGGTTGCACTCCTAATTACGCTTCTCTGTCAACAAGTCGCCTCTCCTCTTGTGTCGTCTAGGCTTCTAGGCCCCCTCCCCCTAACTCTGCAGGCTTAATTAATTCTCTAACTTGACGACTACCCCTCGTGTATATACGTGGCGTATTACGTGCAACGTCCAAGCGCATCAGCTGCGTGGCGTATGTTTTTGAACGAAATTGCACAGTTTCTTAGTCTCAAAAAAGTACGTATAAATGCACCGAGAGAGAAAAACAAATTTATCATTTCGATGCCTTTTTTCATGTCTATTCGATGTCGCCATTAGATTATTCAAAAAATTCCATTTATTTATTTCTATCATTCAGCTGAGCAAAGCGAAGTCTTACTATTGTTAAAACAAAACGGCCTTGTGAACACGATATCTCAATAACCGTTCAACCGATTGCGTCCAAATTTTTATGATGCCTTTTTAGCGACCCGAACATGTGCTGCGTGAATTTTATCATCCATTAACGTCGTCAGAAATGTGTTCAGAATTGCGCTTAAATCAATCTGATGCTCTAGATCGAGTTGGAAGCACTTAAACGAAAAAATGCAAAGGACAAATAAAGATTTAAAATGCGTTAAGAGGTTACGTAGCTTTGAAAAGGCAGACATTTTTTTTTCGAAAAATTATATTTTAAAAACCAAAAGTTTAAGCAATTTGAAATTTTCACACAATAAAGTTTATCTATTAGATAAGCTGCAAACAAAATTTTAGATAAAAATTTTCAAAATTGTTGATTTTCCATAAGTTTCACTCGGTCATCCTGTTATCCTGCGGTAGGCAGGATATTTCATGACTTCACATTCTGAATTTTTTTAGCTTTCACCAATTCCTTAAATTTTTAATATCTACTCTCACGACTTGTTGTAGCAGGATCAAAAAAGTTCAATTTTCTTATTACCATATATTCCGAGTTGTTTATTTTAGTTTTTGCTAAATATACATTCAAATAATATTACAATTTTCTATGACAATACAATAATATTACAATTTCTATAACAATGAATAATACAAGACATAAAAAGTACTGGAAATACATTTATCGTTATCACGAGGTTTGACCAGCAGCCGCCAAGCAGATATTGCACAAATCTTGGTTGTTCAGTTTTTTCAAGATTATTTCGCAGCACTCTATCGACAGCCGTTTGTGTATCAACTCGTAGAACGGATCCAATGCCCAGCGTCGAAAAAATCCTCGCGATAGTTTTTCGCACAGATGCAAAATACAATTCTCATAAGGTCTCGGTGGAATATAATAACACATTTTAATGTTATTCGCGAAAACGAAGTAGTCCATATATGTGAGTAGTTTATCCTCTTCTTCGGGCCGCAACTGGATTAGATCGTAGAGCGACAGACTAGAATTTATCTTAATTTTCTTCGCTGTGCTCGTGAACTCCTCGTCGTCGTACCAACATCTTTCAAGATCCGGCAACTTCTCAAAGAAACCGTGTTTAGCGAAAAATTTCATGATCGTCAAGGCGTCGCTTCGGCTAAAATCGTATCCTCTTTCCTCAAGATGCTCGGCGACGGCCAGGACACCAGACGCTGCTCTCATTTTACGATCCCCACTACAATACGGCCATTTTGGATCAATTAATGTTGGGAAAACGCATTTAGACAAATCAGCGCCATGATTCAAGAGTACGTCGACGGTATTGGGCAAAAGATTCGCCACGGCCAACTGCAACGGTGTGTTACCATCATTGTCCTCGGCGTTGACCTGCACCATCTGATTGATATCGTCGCAGATCTTGAATAGAATCTTTGCCGATTTGTCGTCTCGGTCTTTGTTGCAGATAACGTGTAAAAGAGTCGATCCCTCGCTGTTGACTAAATTCACGTTCGCACCTCTTCTTAGTAGTAATTCGGCCTTCTTCTCGTTGCAATTGAGCAAAGCCAAATTCAACGGTGTTTCGCCGCGATTGTTAAAAACATCGACTGGCACCGTCTTGTGAATGTCGTCACAAAGCTTGAAAAATTGCTCCAACAAGCCACCATCAAAGTATGTTTCGCAAAAAACGTGCAAAAGAGTCGATCCGTTAGAACTGTAGACCAAATTCGGATTGGCTCCTTTTCTCAGCAGCAATTCGGCCATCCTCATGTCGCCATATTCAAAAGCCAAGCGCAACGGTGTGTTACCCATCCAGTCCTGGGCATCGACCTGAACCGGTTGATACTTGTCACTGCTGAGCTCTAACAACATTTTTGCCAAGTCAACGCTGCCACTACGATCGGCGTAGTCCATCGCGCAAACATGGAGAAGAGGTGTCAATCCTGACGAATTGGTCGAGTTCGGATCAGCGCCGTGGCTCAACAATAATTTAGCCAAATCAATCCTGCGATCGTCCAAAGCCAAGTGTATCGGTGGATCAACTGATTTTTGCGCGTGGCAATTGGGATCTTGCCCGACCTTGAGAAATGCCTTGACGATGCTTCGGAAGCCGAACCTACAGGCCACGTGGAAATGCGTCCATTCATGTTCGTCTATGTAATTCGCCTCGTACCTGTTGTATACGTGACGAAAAAGGTCGCGAATCGTCAAATACCACTGGGTATTGAATCTAACCCCATGACGCACGTATAATGGGGGGTCTTCATCATCGGATTCGCTCTCATCTTTGAAGCCGGACAGTCTAGCCGCATGATGCAGTGGTGTGGTGCGACGCAATATTGGCTGGCCGTCTTCATCCAAGTCAGGCTCGTCTTTGTAGCCGCTGCTGATCACAAATTTGATAAATTCACTTCCACGACGATCGTTTCGTTCACCACGGATGATTAATATCATGGAAACCAAAAGAAGATGTTCAATTTCTTCCTTTCGAAAAATGTCCCGGAGATTATGAAGTTTGCAACTGTTATGCGACCAACCGTTGATTAAAGGATATAGTTGACCGAGAAATTCATGTCGCTCTATTTTGATGTTCCAATCGATCTTTTTTCGTAAGTTCTTTATTTGTTCTAATTTGGATTCTAATTCGAACGTGGCCATCGTTCTGCGCACTCACAAACACACACACACACACACACAATCAGTCGCTCACAATATAAAATGTGTATTTTTTATTGTTTTCGCACAAACTAGCTCTAGCTGCAATAGACGCAATATTTTATCGTTGTTCTCACTGCTGCGTTCAAACTTATACTGACTACGCTGACTACAAGCGCAGCTGGAGCTATGTAAAGAATCTACTAAAAAGTGAAAGTCAGTGTAGTTGGGGCCACATGTTTTGGGAGCTATGTAAAGTATCTACTGGAAAGAGAAAGTACAATGTAGTTAGGACCATATGTTTTGAGAAGTATGCAGCTATAATAGCTATAAAGCATATGAAATCTGACCGGGTATCGTTCGGTTCTTGTTCCGTCCTGGAGAATTATCAATTTTGATATAGCGATCATTCCAATAGTATATTACTGCCCTAGGCCGCGAAAAACAGAAAAGTCCCTTTTGCATGCTATAAAAAATGTAAACCAAATTTTAATGAGTATGTCATTCATACAGGCGCACTAAATAAGTAGTACAAAATAACTTAGCCAGTCTCGTGAGTCTCGTCAATGACTTTACAATCTTATATCTCTAATTTTTAAATTTTAAAAAAGTGACGGTTTGATTGTGACTCCCAAATAAACATGCTGGGATTGAGCATTGAATTACGATAGATGACATGCGAATTGAGAATTTTTAAACTTCTAATAACCGCAAGGAACTAAATGTCGACAATTTGGTCGTCTCTGGGTGCAAGCGATGCGCATATTCATGCATAGTCCAATGAAGGAAGCGTCGAATTTGAATTCTGCACCTTGGTGACAATCGCTCGTGTACACATACGCACGCGTAGAGAGAAATCCATTTATACGCGAATTCGAAACGCCCTGACTTGCCCTTGGTGTACACGACAATAGTACACGCACAATGGGCACACGATGCTCGTGATGCAGCGTATACACTGGGCACGACGACGACACTCACTGAGCAAGAAAGAAAGCGAGAGAAGGGAGAGCGTATCGAGAGCTCGATGATTGAGTCGGCCAGTCATGCGTAAATTAACGAATTTATTGTGTCGATCTCTTGGTTTGCGTGTCGCGCTGCAGCAGCAGCGTACGTCATGCGATGCGTGCTTCACGTGTTATATAGGTTTCATTTTAAATTTGCCATAAATTCGTTAGCAGCGCGCGATCAAGATGGCATCGAGTCACGCTCGATTCTTGCTTGGCTCTCGCGAGCAAAGATCGAGCGAGATTTCGTCTACATTATACAGAGGGGAGAAAAAAAGTCGCTCCTAGAGAGTCGTGAAGTGAAAAGCCCGCCCAATAATGCGAATTAGCGTAGTCGTGTGCGGCTTTTAAAAATCGCTTTATAAGCATAGATACATGCGGCACACTGTAGGTGGTGAAAGAATAAAGCTCGTTTGATATTCACACTCTCTTGCACACACGCACAGCGCAGTAATCTATAACTCATCTCGTCCTTCTTTTTCTTGCGTTCGTCAAATATACATCATACGAATATAGACCGGCGTGCACACAGCTATTAGATATTACAATGTCCCATTACTTACGAGTGGCTTGCTCACAATGAAATATATATTACATACGACGATGATTCAGACGGGCATCCATCGATGGTGCAGTCACAGTCGTAGTGCGTGCATATCGTTGCCTAGATTCAAATTTCTTACACGACACATTTCAGTGACGAGTTATGGAGCGTGCCAAGCACGCTATGGCGTGGGGCGGCTAAGTTAGGAATAAATATAAAAATTTTTTTTA